TTTTTTTCTCCTTTTTTTGTCTCACCACCGCACCTCGAAGGCAAAGCCTGGTGCAAATACCAGCAAGGCCTGATAGAGAAGCTTCCTCGAGGTATTTCTTTAACACGAAGAAACATGGCGACTAAATTGCATCACTCCCGAAATACAGGAGTGAAAAATTCACGAAATGTCTTCTAAAGAAAATTTACAAGACGAATATCACAATTTGAGCACTTCATTTAACAGATTTAAATCAAATTATCTGATAACAAAACATTTCCAAAAAAGCATCGGTATTTGTGTTTATCTCACTACTTTTGTTTTTCTTCGCATGATACGAGTGTGATGCCTCTTTATTCTTCCTTCCTTTCCCATTGCCTTTAGAGGTACCATCTGTTGCTTCAAATGTTGACCAATTGCTGTGCAAGATGCTGCAACTGCAAGCTTGCGCGTATTTTGTACATAAATTTGATTAATTATATATATATATATATATATATATATATTCATGCATAACATTACATAAATGTCATGTTTTAACTAGGCTCTTGCACAATCCTGGGCTTCATCGAATACACATACCTCACCCGCCGGCCTCACTTAATCAGGAAGAGAGAGAGAGGGAGAGAGAGAGAGAGAGAGAGAGAGAGAGAGAGAGAGAGAGAGAGAGAGAGAGAGAGAGAGAGAGAGAGAGAGAGAGAGAGAGAGGGAGAGACATATATATATATATATATATATATATATATATATATATATATATATATATACATACACATAGTGGACCACTGTTAAACGTATGGTGATGCCCTGCTATCGATTTGTGCCATGAAGCCTAATTTTATTCGTGAGAGATCCCAATATACCTGAGCAGGGAATGTGCTTATGCTGCCAGGTGGCTGCATATCAATTCACCCTAGCACCCCCAGGTTGCATGTCTGTTCACCGCTAGCTCTCATCATTTTGTTCCTGAAATAAATATACGTCACATATAACCAATGTACGTAAAATGCAATCTTTAGTCATGAAATCCATCGATAGTAATGCGTCCAGACTCAATAAGCAATCCGAGGGTAGTTATTTGTATTGCCATGGTTAAATTACCGTGCTAAAACTTTGACGCTGAAGTCAAAATAATCTAGAGATGAGAGCGATTTGGGCACCACTCAAATGATACCCATTTGTTCGTGCGAAAGAGTTCGTTAGTATTCAGGAGGACCATCGACTTAAGACGTTGAAAGGAAAGAGTCTCTATTAGCCAAAGAGTTGCCAGGCAAATGTAAGAGAGGGGTTGGAAGGGCGGCGTCGCACCCTCCGAAGTCGTCGTCGGCGTCGTCGTAAACGCTGTCGCGGTTCGCGTCAAGCCTCGCCGGCGGATTCTGAACGTGGACTGCTCGGCAGGGACCTTGCGTCCCCGCCCGCGTGTCCGCATAAACCCACGTGGGTTTATGGGCTTCAGATGGTGGGAACCAATCGGCAGAGGGGCCGCTCACACCCTCGCGGAGCCGCCGCCGCTGCGCCGGCAGCGACAGCCCGTTTGCTCGCTAACACTATTTTTTTTCATAATCGTCATTTTCTCCGCTATGTGGACGCAAATTTCCATGCACATTGCACACGATGAAAGGTGACTCAGTCACGGTATGCACCTCAGCAAGGGTTGTCTGTCCTGACGGCTCTTCAGGTTGCACTGAGTGCGATTCCGTTCACACCAAAATATTGTTGTAAGAACGACTAAGAATGACAGAGGACAAACATGGACCTGATTCTAAGAAATCGTCTGTTGCTTCCTAAAGATAAATTTCGTACATGTCTCTCATTTTTTCCTGGTTGTTCATGTATGCTTGGTGACATTTTGCACACTTTGCATGTTACATTTTGCACACTTTGCATGTTACATTTTACAAAATTCCAAGCTTGCGGTACACTACAAAAAGTGGCAAGTCATTGCTATTGTGCCATGACGTATAGCGATGGCTGGTACCACGCTCTCATTGTAGCCTTTTCGTAATGGCGTGAACTAAATGACGCTCTTTGGCACAAATGTCAAACAGCAGGCAGGCGCGAACCGCATGCATCGACTTTGTAGTAGACAACACTGAACGCCTGTGCAAACGCCCGCATGAGTCAGTATTTGCGCAAACATTTGCGACATGCCTGCACCGACGGCGCATCAACTAGACAAACACGCCCGGCGGTGCCCTGCAAGGTTCCCGAACGGCAACGCAAACCTATATCGTCGTTACTTCCGAAAAGCAAACTGTTAGAACGTCACTGTCCCCAGGTGGAATATCTTCGGGCAGTGAGTGGCAAACTGGGAGGCTATTGACGGTGGCAGTGTTCGACGCTGGAGCTGCCTGCGCTGTCCGACAGTCGGCAGCCTCACAGAGCCCGCGCCAGAGCGACAGGGGGCCTGTCCGCCGGCCCTGCCGACGGTCCGGCTGCCATGGCCGCCGCGATGAGACGCTCCGTGTCAACGTTTGCGTCAAATACCTCCATGCACGGGCTGCCCGTGGCCAACAACGCAACCAATTCGCCGCTTCGCCTCTTCTGGACAGCCATCACTTTCAGTTTGTTTTGTGCCAGTGTCATTTTCGGTAAGTGGCGACATATATACGCATACATATATGTATATATATATATATATATATATATATATATATATATATATATATATGCGTGTGTATGTGTATGTGTGTGCGTGTGTGCGTGAGTGCGTGCGTGCGTGCGGAATAGGCTCTTCATAGGGTCTTGTTTTAGAAAGCTCACCTTCACTGGCCTTGGATTGAGCTTTTTCTCCTCTATTCACAACGTTTTAAATTTATGTGACGTGCAAACGGCTATTTCTATAGTTCTGCGTGTTAGTTTCAACCATAAATTTTTGTTTGAACTGGATCGACTCGGATTTTTACATTTATTTTTTTTCTTCTTTCAATTGTTTATTTTTATTGAAGGGCTTATTCGGTGCAGCATGAACCAGAGCCCCGCTGTTAATGCATTTCATATGCTTAATTGATATTTTGTGTGTTAGAACAAGATAAATTTAATAGAATTATTCCTCGCAGAAAAACCAAAGTAATGGATCTCCATAAGAAGATATATTAAACTGTGTTTGCATTTGTTTCTACTGAATTGATCCGGGTTGCACATTGATCAGCTTGCTTGATTAATTGGTTCGGTTTTCACCCGGGCCTAGTATTTCGTTTATGATTAGTTTTGATTGTTATTAATTTACGCATAAACATTGAAATCCTGAGAAGTCGAGCGAGGTCGGCAGACAGTTTTGAACTTTTTACTGATATTAGCGTGATAAAGGCATATAGCCGAACTTATATATGTCAATACGTCAATACGTCTATCTGTCCATTCTCTGGGCTATCCCACGAGGAATAAGGTGATAAATGCTACCTTAAGTATACACATGATGTTCCTCGCAGATGCACTGAACAATTTACGTCATTTTTGTAGTTGCCCTATTTTTGGAAGCAGGTGGGACAAAGCAAGAATGATATTGTCAGCCACCTACCTTTTGAAGAACCATTTCTATCCGAAAAAATTGTATTATTGAATAATGATCACGCAGGCTTATGAACGTGACAAACGGAACATCATGACAGTTTGGCACAACGCTGGGTGCAATCGCATGAAAAAATTGGGAGTTTATCAAGTAATTTGTTATGCGTTTATTCTAATTCTAGAATAGCGCGCATGTGTGATGATGTGATTTGCTGGTGTCGTGGTTGTTGTCGATGCACTGTTAATGAAAATTTTATGAGCCACGGTCTGGTGCAGATCCTCACTTTCCCATGACTTTTATCATGTTACGGTTGCATGAATTATGTGATGTGGTGACCGAAAGATATGAACTGCGGACATTTCGGTGTAACAATTTTCTTTCAATTTCACGCTCATAAGTTGTATTTGGCGCTTCGTTTTCGAGCTCCTTCATTTGTATCCGTCGCACAACGTGCGCAAAGCTTCCGTTTAGTTTAAACCCTTGCCTTGGTAGCGGGTGATCGATGCGACCCTGCAAAAGTTTTCTGAGGACATATCTCTGACGTTTTATTTTTTTAATTTCATGTTTCATGTAATTACGCCCGAATTTTCGACAGCCTCGAGAGCATTCACGGTTCTGGTCTCTGAGAATGAACGTTTCGTTTGAGGAACAATGTATGGCGATCCACGACCAGCGCGGGCAGCGAGCGGCAGCCAATGAATACGCCCATCACTCGCGATGGGTCAAACCGCTACATTAGCGAAGCCCTGCCCTATGACAAAATGCTCAAAACACATAACACTTCGTGTCGACGTGCTCAGTACAACAAAAAATAATGAGCACGCATGCGCATGTTTCATTCCGCTACGTGCCATGTTTTCATAAATATTATGTCAACTCGAAATCGAAAAATGTTCAGAGAAAACCTCTGCTCAAGCATAGTGGGGTCAATAAGTGACTTAGCGGTACAGCGCATGTTACCAACCGTCCCATCGCGAGATCTCATTGGGACAAATCCACCATTTCCCGCGAAGCTCTATCTTTTTTAGTCTCAAAACGGCTGCGAGTGGGTTGGAACCCCTGAGCCCCGGTCTCATCCTTTCCAAATCACAGAGGTCAAAAACCTTACTTTCTGGACAGCACCAGTTGGGACCATTCTGGGACACAGCAAAAAGCTCAAGAAGACACAAGGGCGTGTTAAGAAGATCTTTCTCCTCCCCGCAATTATGGCCGAGTCCCCAAACCCTTGGCTACCGAGGGGGCGAAACTTCGCGCTAGCCCAACCGCTCAGCACATGCCATCGCCCGGGCCTGTCCCGTATGTCTTGTCGTTACTCTGTGCAGCAACTGTCCGACGGTCCAGTCCCTGCGCAGACTCTACTGGCCCTGTCGCGCTCCCGCTCATGTCCTCTTTTTCGCCGTCCTCTTTTTCGCCGTCCTCTTTCGCTGCTCTCTCAGCGCCGACAGTATGGAGGGGCAGAAGATCGGAGACCCTCGAACGGAGCAGAAGCAGCGGCTGCTAGAGGGTGAAATGTGAAATGGTTGACTTTTAATGGTGTTTGACGAGATTTTCACCTATACAAATTTGGCGCAGTGGATCAATTTTTTCGGAGACAGTAATGCAACCATATCACATCTTATGACGTCAATTTATGACAAATGCTCTTTGGAAGGACAAAGCCCTATCGATGACTTAAAGACAAAATGGGTGACGGAAAAAAGAAAAATAAGATGGCCATGGTCTAAGCCTTTCAAAAGTGTTGTTTTTGGGCCCGTTTGTTACATCTGAGGTCAAACTGAGGCCGCTGATGTCATGCATGCTTTGATTTGCTTTGGCAATACAAATATGTGTGTTCTGCTCATCAGACATACTTATGCTGAATTTATACACAATTTAAGTAAGGAGGGGCTTAGATGGTATGCATTTAACCTTTTGCTAGGTCATGGTTAAGGCTGCTTATGGGACCAAATGTCTGTTGTTTTTTTTTGCCTCATGATGCCGCGTCGCTGTGCAGCAGCGATAAACGTTCCCTTCTTTCGGTTCACGTGCTTGCTCTTTCAGGAATACAAACCACGCATGACTATTTGGTACGGCGTCAAGACATCAGCAAGTTCACGTTTGTCGACGCGCGACGCGTGGGAATGGCACTTCCAGCCATTACCATATGTCCGCTGAGAAACCCAATCAACTTGGTGAGGCTTAAAGGTAATAGGTTACAGCCAACTAAGGAAGCTGCCGAAACTGTACATCTGTTGTACCTTACGCCTGTTTATCCTGCGCTTGTTGTGACTATGGTATTCATCGAAATGCCTGCACAGATATTGCTATGTATTCCGCTTAACAGCGGCCGCATCACATTCCCAAGCTGGTTGAAGTTTAAAATTAATTATGGCCACAACTGCTTGAAATATATTTCTTCGAAGTATTTGCTTTTGTCCTTGCCCCCGCTGTTTGTCACAGCTCTGCGCCTATCGCCGTTATGCGATGTATCGAAGTATTGTTGCACATTGTGTCATTGATTCCGACCAATTGCTGTAATTATCAATATCAACATCGCATTTTGTGTGCGTAGCCGAGTTGATAAAATAGGTGCAAACCCGCCCTCCTCCCATCCATTTCAGAGTATAACATGAGCACTCAGCTGGCAACGTATCTGCTAATGATGGCCGATCATTATGACAGCGTAAATCCCTTTCTGATCACTAATATCACACTTCAAAGCCAGTTAGAAGAAGAGCTCCAGACCGCCCTGATCAAACAAAAGACGACAGCGTTCGGTCTCCTTGAGGATATTTCACCGAAGTAAGTATACATAGACTGCATTTCATGTTTTCACTTGATCAGCGAAATTCTTAAATAAGAACTATGACGTTATTTAATGCTAACTTTGCATTCGATACTGATGTGTATATGCTGACAATGCATATACTTTTGTAGAATTGGCGGGTGGTCACAGACGGTCCAGATTTGCTGGTGGTCCTGGTGTTCCTGCACCATCTGCATTCGTTGCAGGTGGTGCAGACCTGGTGCTGGACTGCTACGTAAACGGAGCTCACCGACTCAGGTGTGTAGGGCCGGTGCAATGCTGGTACATGTAAGGCACCCCCGGTTTCAGATGCCGGGAGCTGGTGCTAGGCTGTTACATGCAGGACAGGTATCTGGACACCGATGAGTGCTGCCGGGACGTGCTCTCCCACGTCGTCTACTACCAAGCGCGCTGTGTGTCCACCATGTTCTCCAGCCTCCTAAGCGACTGGAACCAGACAAGGCCCGGCGATAGCGGAGGTCTCTCCATTCTCCTCAGGGAGAACCGAACAGAATTATGTGAGACAATACCACTCGTTGACGATAACGGTTGGATGCGAACGTTTGATGATGCGATCAGATGATGACGCCCAGCTATATTAACGAGCATATTTTACTTCATGGATAAATTTGGTTGCCTAGAGCAGTCTTCTCCACTTCAAAGTATACCAATAGTTATATCTGAGCTCGGTTCATAATATCTGATGCTTGCTTCAGCATCCTTGAATGTGGAACATTTCCTTTGAGCGTGACACAATCACGCAGTGTCAAAGGAGCAAATCGTCACAACATAGTAAATCATCGTGAACTTCGTGTTAAAAATACTGGCGCGGCAGTCAGCGCGTCTCCTCAGCCACAGTGTCGTTTCAGACTCGTATATGGACGCCCGATACGCGCTGGCGACGTCGACCAGCGGCATGCGGGTGGTGATAACGCCCTATCACGGAGAGCTCCAGGACTCGATGGGGACGAACAGCCACATCCTGCCTTCCGGCCACTTGTCCATGCTAGCTCTCAAAATGACTGAGGTGAGTGAGAGTATTGTTCTGTAGCGTATTTTTTCTTTATGCACAAAATAAGGCTCATACTGAGGTTGTTTTCCGGACAGAAATATTATCTTTTAAATAAAGTTGAGACCAAGAAAATGAGTAACTCCACATTTATTGTTAGGAAGGACCACGGGTAAATATATTTGAACTCTTCCATCAATGAACGTGCATGGTGCCTTAAATATAGATTCAGAAAGCATGTCCGGAGATGCATTTATGAATATCACCATTATACTTAGGCGGTAACAAATGCTCGGCAGACCGACTGTTCGAAGACGCCGCAAAAAGCTCTAGATAAATGCGTGCAAAAGGCTCATATCACGTCACTCACTGAGTTCAACTACGTCTTCAAAATAGTTGAAGCTTTGTGGCGATGTCGCGTTGAATAAGGGGATGCGATGAAGAATCCCTGCCTCATCGGTCCTGGATTCGTATCGCAGGAAAAAGGATTTAATCGACCGCAGTTGACAACCGCAGTTGACAGTTGACCGCGGTCAGCTGACGACGGACTAGAAAGGGCCTTCCTGTTACAAGAGAGCCGTGGCGCGGTACTGTAGGGCACGGATGCTCTTTTCGTGATCCGCCTAACAAAAGCCAGAGGGAAAATATCCTTGAAACTTGAATGTCTTACCTAGAAGTATTGATTTTCCGGCTAGTGAAATATTGATACTGACCTTTTCACATATTAGCCGTGGGTGATAAAAGTGATGCACATAAAGAATAAACTCAAGAACGGGAGAAAAGCTGTTGTGGGGCTCTGCTGTCTGCGTGCGATGCTTGTGTTGTTTTAGTAATTTGTAGAGCGTCAGTGCAAACTTGACAGGAAATAAAGACATCTCCAAGAACGTAATCTGATATTTCGACTTGAAAGTAGCGGTTTCAAACTTGTATTTCGAAAACCTGGTTAGGCACTGTTGTCATAATTGTCTTTATTTTGGTGCGCTCAACTCAAAACCGCGAAGATGGTTCTCCAAAAACGACTAAACTATGTTTTGTTGCCAAGAAATGCGACTTGATTTTAAAAGTACTGGCCGTTCACAGTTGCCACCAGACCCAGCCCATCACCTTTCCATGACTCGGTTCTCGTCGTCAGATAGAGGTTACCGCGTGGTATCGCGACATTCTGCACCTGTACCAGCCAGCCTGCATCGCCCTGCCGTCACAGAAGGACATCTCCCGGAGCACGCGGCTGTCAACCCTCGCGAGCTGCGACCTAGAGTCGCTGCGCGAGCGCTACCGAGCGTCCTGCAACTGCACTCCACTGCTGATGCACTCGCTGACAGACGACCAGCCGAGCTGGGACGACGTCTGCACGCCACTGCAGCTGCTGTCGTGCCGCAGCCTGTCGCAAGACGTCCACAAGACGAGCCGGCTCGTCCGAGGGCCTTCCTGCCGCTCGCTCTGCACGGAGCTCACGTATGAATCCGCCGCGGACTCCACACCGTTCAAGCGAGAATTCCTCACCAAAGGCGGGGCTTTCCAACAGCACTACGCAGCAGGTCACAACTGGACCATGTCGGCGGTCAACATCTTCTTCAACAGGCTGAACTACAGAAGGATAGAGCTGTCCAAGACGTCGCTGTGGGATTGGCTGGGCGCGTTCGGAGGTCAGACGAGCCTCCTCATCGGGGCGAGCGTCATCACCATGCTGGAGCTGACGGCGTTCAGCGGCTGGTTGCTGGGGCAGTTGTGCTGGCGGCTGGCTGCAGGCTTAGTCAGCTGCTGCCAGCTGGATGGCACGACGGCCGCCGTGGCGCCGCAACCACAGACCCCCGCTGTCACCGTGTCGGTGGCCGTGCGTGAAAAATGAGCTGAGACATGACGAGGTCCAAAAGATCTCGCTAAAAATCGTTGTTGAAAGCACACAAAGGCCCTAAGACGGTGTTTTGTCAGTCGTAGTTATTTATGATAATGGTTACCACATTAGGCTGGTTTTGCTGATGCGTATCAAAGCACGTGTGTTAGTACCGCTTGATGCTTTCCCAAGCATCCCGTTCAAGAAACATCAGTCAACTCGGTGTTTCGTTGCATAACGGACGAATTAAATTGTTCAGTTCGGCTATAATGGACGCTTTATCAACGTCGGCACATGCCAATGATATTCCGCAGCGGGGAAAGTTCATCTGATGTGCTGTTTGCCATGGATAAGACCACCACGTGCACGACGTCATCTTTTATTTCCTTTTACATGTCAAGGAGCTGCGATGGAACATCTGGCCGCTGTGTTAATATTGAAACAGTTCTAAATCCAAACAAGCTGTGTGCTTGGTCGATGGCTCGACCCCGGACATGGTTTGACGCATCGATCGCAGTAGGTTTCGTTTCGGTCAGCAGGCCCCGAGGGCGTGCCGCTCAAACCGCGGCCGCGCGGCCCCCGGGGCGGCGCTCACCCCTCCCCGCCCCGCCCTCCTGCCGCCTCGTCGCGCTCGGGGAGCCGCCGGCGCCCTCGTGTGCTGCGCGCGTCGCACCCACCAGCTGCGGCAGCCCAAACGTGGGGCGCTCATGACAGCTCCGGGAGGCGCACAGAGGCGCCGGCCGCCCGGCGCGCGCCAGCGGCCCGCCCCGGACGCCATGCCGCCTGCCGGTGCCGCGGCGCTCCCGCCGGCCGCCCGCCGCCGGCCGCCGTGCCACCTAGGAGCACCGAGATTAGTCCGTCTATGTACAGGAAGGCTAGGTGGCACGGCGCCCCGGGCGGACGGCCGTCGGCGGCGGCCGACGCACCGACTCGTATCGCTCGCGTCCTCGCGCGGCGGCGGCGCGGCCCGCCAGCGCCGCCGCGACCTCGGCGCGACCGCCGCCAGCCTGGTCGCTTAGCCCATGCTGAGCACGCCCGCCCCCATGCCGAAGCCGACGCCCTTAGGGCCGAACTGACGGCCGTAGCAGGTGCGGCAGTGGATCTCGAGGTCTGGGCCGTTGCATGCGTTGGTCGAGTCCATGCTTTTGGCACACTCCTTGCAGTTGAAGCACTTCTTGTGGTAGCTCTGCGGAAAATAATTTCAGTCGGTTTCGGATCATAGGAAGTGAACCGTGTCTTGCATACTACACCGCCTTCGTGGTATTTAACGCGCATCACCCAGTGATAATAAAGCTAAGGTGCATAGCTAGGTACACGGCTTGCGCCACGCTGCTCTGTCGTAGCATCAACAATTACAGCCCGCTGGCGCTCAGATGTTGTATCGTGTGACTGTCTTACCTTTGTTACCTTTGCAAGTGCGTCGCCGTTGCTGATCCGAAATATACCTACATAGCTTGCGCCATGACCAGTGTATTTTTTGCCAGATGACCCCATCAATTTTAGGTTATCAAGGAGCTAAACAAAATTCGTCTATTGATGACTGCTCACCTTCGTGACCACAAATAGTGTCGCTGTTTGCCCAGAACACCCTCTTCATGCCTTATCTTCTCTGCCGCGGGCAGAGATCTCCCTCCAAACGCCGCACCCACTTCGTCACAGGCGAAGAACACCCCATGCCTTCCACCCACTCCGTCACTCGTGGAAAACACTATCCGTGTGTCCCACCCACTCCCTCACTTGCGGGAATCTCCCCTGTGCATTCCACTCATCCTTTGCTATACAGTAATCACGCCTGGCATGTTCCACACCCCATTTCCCTGGCGTGAATTGCCCCGGCATGTTCCACTCACCCTGTCCCTGGCATGTAATACCCCGGCATGTTTTGCTCACCCTATCCCTGACGTGCGCTAGCCCGGCATGTTTTGCTCACCCTATCCCCGACGTGCGCTAGCCCGGCATGTTTCACTCACCCTATCCCTGACGTGCGCTAGCCCGGCATGTTTTGCTAACTCTATCCCTGACGTGCGCTAGCCCGGCATGTTTTGCTCACCCTGTCCCTGACGTGCGCTAGCCCGGCATGTTTTGCTCACCCTATCCCTGACGTGCGTTAGCCCGGCATGTTTTGCTCACCCTATCCCTGACGTGCGCTAGCCCGGCATGTTTTGCTCACCCTATCCCTGACGTGCGCTAGCCCGGCATGATTTGCTCACCCTGTCCCTGACGGGGATGGCTTCAGCGGCATACACAGCGAACCCGCAGCGGGGGCATCCCTCTCCTGGCGCTGCCTTCATGCCCATTGATGGCTGAATCATGCCGCTGTTCCTGGAAACCGCAAACACACATCCAGTAAGTTCCCGCAGATAAGTAACGCTCCAAGTATGCAACCCACCGTCTCAAAATGTGTTCAATCTGTGTTAGCTAAATGTTCATTGCCCCGGGCGTTTAAAGTAACTGGATCATTGACTGACATTTTATGAATCATACCTCAAGTATTGTTCTGTTTTTGTTTAATAATTAACTCATTATTCAAATAAGAAGACGCAAGTGAGTGATACCAGCTCAGTTTGACTGGCTTGACAATACATAAAAGTGTAATTGACAATAGCACATATAAGCAATACGGTATTCGACCGAACATGGAGTGTTTGCTAAATGCAGCACTCACGGGACTTGTTCGTCAACCGAGCCGGACACCAGGGTGGGGCTGTGGCCGAAGCCGAAGCCCTTGGGGCCGAAGCGGCGCCCATAGTCGGTCTTGCAGTAGATGTCCTTGTCGGGACCATCGCAGGCGATGGTGGAGTCCAGAGGGCGCTTGCAGTCGTGGCAGCTGAAGCAGGACTTGTGCCACTCCTGAGAGAAGACGGCACATCGGTGAGGCCCCGACAGATAAACCAGGCTCCAGGCCGGTTCCGTGGCAAGCAGGTGCGCAATGGAAGGAGGCCGAGGAGGTGAACATCGAGTTTTGGTGAGGCATCTATCGATGTCTGGTCGAAGAACGACCAGATTTTGATAGCGAGAGCACACAACATCGATGCCGTGTGAATGTGCTCGCGGTTAGAGCTAGTGTGCTCTATATGCATTGTCCAGAACGCACGAACAGCCTGTTGGTAAAGCCCCCTCCCCCTCCGCTCCCATCCCCAGTCCCAGCCGCAGCCCCACCCTCAGCCCCAGCCCCAGCCTCAGTCCCAGCCACAGCCACAGCTCCAGCTCCAGTCCCAGCCCTAACCACAGCCGCAGACCCAGCCCCAGCCACAGCCACAGACCCAGACTCAGACCCAAACCCAGACCCAGACCCAAACCCAGACCCAGACCCAAACCCAGACCCAGACCCAAACCCAGACTCAGACCCAGACCAAGCCACAGCCACAGCCACAGCCACAGCCACAGCCACAGCCACAGCCACATCCACAGACCCAGCCCAAAGGCCAGAGCCAGACCCAGACCCAGACTCAGGCCCAGGCACAGACACAGGCACAGACCCAGCCGCAGTCCCACACCACGCCAAATACGCAGTACAAGATCTTCCTGAGACAGTCGAGCCGCGAGTACTCACGCGTCCCTTGGAGAGCATCATCTCCGCCGCGAACACAGCGCCGCCACAGCGAGGGCATCCCTGGCCCGGCGACGCCTTGATGGTGGTGGTGTTCATGCGCGACCACTCCTGCGCCGGCGCGTCGGAGCTGCCGTGACGGACGGCACAGTGAGGAGCACGCGAGTCGGCGGTGCTCCGCGCCCGCAGACCGACCGTGGCTAGCGGGGCCGAGTCTGTCAGGCCGCGCGAAGATCTCGCTGTGCGTTCGACTGGCGCTGTTTTCCAGTGATCTGGAGTGTTGATCGCAAAGCAAACCCAGCATCGATAGTACACGTGGAAAGTCAGTATGTGTGGATGATCGATCGGAATTTGTTTTTGTACGCAACCTTAATAAGTTTCCCCACCTCGACCTGCTGTGCGTAAAAGCAGCACGCGGCTCCAGCACACTTACTCGATGGTGTCAGACTGGAGGAAGGCCGCGCCACAGCCGAAGCCGTAGCCCTTGGGGCCGTACTTCTTGGAGTAGCACAGCTTGCAGTAGATGTCCTTGTCCGGGCCATCACAGGCGTTGGTTGAGTCCAGGATCCGTGAGCACTCCTTGCAGTTAAAGCAAGTCTTGTGGTAGTCCTGGAAACGGCAGGGTCAGGGGTCAATCAGGCCTGCTGTGCTTCTAACCCTATTTCTGCTACCGATCTGTGACCAACATTTCTTCCGAAAAGCAACCATTTAAAGGGAAAGTTTCACATTTGAAGATGTTGCAGCAAGCAGCAGATATGGTGGAACAAGCTCACTTATAACTATTTGTATGCTGTTTTAAGCAGGAAAGGCTGCTCTAGACAGCACAAGTTTCTGTTTAGTACAGGTGCTCTGCAATGTGTCATGGTTTGATTACCTCATCGTACCGTGCACAACATTGATTGAGAGCCAATTACGGTCGTTGTATTTCGAGATCGCTCTCACAAACGCCATGTATGAACGCTTCGAAAACTATATTTTTCTTGGCATTGTTCGCCGCATGGCTTAGGGAATGGCAGGATTTAAATGGTATCGTGACGTCATGAACGCCGAGATGGATTTGAAATACTCTGTCCAATGTACATTTCGCCCATTTTAGCAGGCGTATAGCTCAGAAACTGGAAGAGTTTGGGTCGTAAGAAGGGCAGGATTGTATACAGCACCAAGAAGCCTTCGCGAGGGCTGTTTTAGTTCAAGACTACATATAAATATGGAACACTTCCTTTAAGCCTGAGTGATGCGCAGCATTACGGCATTTCTGCGGGTGGAGTTGCAAAGCGTGGTCCAAACTAAAATCTGTCACCACATTCAAATTCAAATGCCTCTTTAAAGGAGCCCAGGCCATCAGTCGCTGCCATGAATACCTGCAGTGTCACCTAGTGCTGTAGCGCGATCACCACGCCTCTTCATTCACTCCGAACCCGGCCCTTAAGGTGACCCCACTGACCCGGAAGGTGACCCCACTTACCCGGAAGCGGGACTGCTTCTTCTCGGCCTCGAAGACGGCACCGCCGCAGCGGGGGCAGCCCTTGCCGGGCGGGGCCTGGATGGATGCCTGCAGGTTCACCGTCGGCTTGTTGGTCATCACATCGCCGTCGCTGCAAGAAGACGCCGAGCCTGAGCGGCGGCTTGAACCAGCACCTACGACACCGAGCCTGAGCGGCGGCTGGGACCAGCACCTACGACACACGCGCCCGGGAAGACGGGCACGAACCAAACGTGGATAGATGGTGCGATGGTAACTGGACGGGGCTTAGCGGTGGTGATGGTCCATTGGTGGATGAAGGTTGAAGAGATGATCAGGTTCTGACGCTGCGCCATATATGTTAAAGAGTATGCAGGATGACGATGGTCTCGGTGAGGTTGAGATCGAACGCTCTGATGACTGCTGACCAGACAGCGAGCAAGGAGCACTATCAGAAGAGCTGCTAAGACACATCATTCCTTATCAATTTCATTCACAAGCAAGTTCACCGGCAAAATCCAGCGTGGCTTAAGCGGTGCACCTAAATTAGCACACTTTAACATCGTCAGTGAATTAGAAGAAAGTACAGGTATGTGTTGGTTCGAAGAACGCACGACAGTTAACACAATAAGACGCTGATACACCGACACCATAGACACATGACAACGCAGGTAGATGGTTTTAGTATTTGGTGGAGTTGACAGCAAATGGTATGATCTATGCAGCTACTAGACGTTTGTGACCGCCACGAAGTCTAACACACGATCGAGTTACTAAGCTTATCATCAAAACTATGTATGATCAGGTTGAATACTTGAATTGCTGCTCCTAACCGTAATGGTGTTTGTTTCGGTGTTTCTTAACCTTAGTTGGCTACTGCCTGCAGGAAAAACGTCTTTTATTCGGCCGATGTTATTGCCGCCGTGCATCATGCTGACATGTCTGACCTTTATCGCGGCATGCCAATATGGTTTGCTACACATGGCCACCGGACGGCGATATTAGCAGTGGCGTGGCAAACGTGTGTGCACTGCACCAATATTTGTTCGTTACTCCGATGGATGCATCAACAGCCGGAATGTTTGCCCCATGACTTGCCACACTAGCCATTTGGTGGCTTTACCAATAAATTTGTCGTGCATTCCGGGTCGTGCACATACAGCATACAGGTTCTCATTGCGACGACAGTGAGGTCGTTCCAAGAGTGAACAAGTTAGTGGTATTGATCGTGTCGTAGTTTGTCGGTGTCTGTTATCGCCACAGGCGAGAGCTAAAAGGTGGCGGGTAAGAAATGGCGGTCGCATGTATTAGTAAGCTCGGGGTCGTCCAGGTAGACCGTCTGCACCCGGCTATGGACGATGCCAGCCAGTGGTCCGAGTGACCCTAGGTCACCGGGCGTCGGGCCGTTGGCGTGTGCCGGGGGGGGGGGGGGGGCGGCACCGAGCGGTACTCACAGCTCGCTGCCGTCGGTCAGCGTCATCTGCAGCGCGCCTGCGCCCTGACCGTAGCCGTAGCCCTTCGGGCCGAACTTGCGGTTGTAGCACACTGCGGGCCGGGGCCGGTGCAGCACGTCAGGGCAGCGAGCAGTCGCAGTGCGAGCTGGCTCGTGAATGCGCCACTGTCTGGCCATTCTTACGCCACATGCGGCCGCTGCTGAGGTTTGGCCGAGGCTGGAGGGCCGTTATGCAGCGTGCCACGGATAGGAGACGAATGGCACGTTCACCAGATCCCGTCGCTGTTCATGTGCATGATTGCGCATGGACATAATTGCTGATGTTCTTGTTGCGAACACAGATGGCTACGATCGAATATAGACATAGAGAGAAGTTATAGGCAAAAGCTATCTACCAGTTGTTTTATCACACAAATAGATATTCCGCCAATTCCTCTGTGATGCAAAGGTACTTGAATGAAAAGCGCAAAGAATGTTATTTTCTCTGCTTAGAAGAAATGCACAGATGTTTCTTCGCACCACACGTTAATGCATGGGCATCAAGCACATTTATGAAACCGCATAAGCAAGGTATTGAGCATGCCAGGATTATTCAGGGTGCCATGCATCACACGAAGTAGGACAACGGGTGTTTTACTTCGTTTACACTGTTTGCTTTACTTGAATCATGGAGAGCTAGAATCATGTGCCGCCGAAAATCACATTGCATTCCACCGAATTCTAATCTACCTCGCACACCAATAACCGAGTCAAGTGGTCAGGCTACTTGTTTATAAGTGCACACATGCCGCCGATCGCAGATCAGATACACGGTTGTGCCAGCCCTGGGTTACGCTATCTCCCGAGAAAAATATCACTGAATGAAATTAGAATGTTACATTGTGCTGACTGCTATATTCAAGCCCGTGCTGGCTGTCCGAGTACTAAAAAAGAGAGGCATTCCATGGACAGCCTGCTTTGGCCGTTGCTCAAGGGCAAATCAACAGATAACATGATCGACCCTCACCCTCAGTTTTAGCTCCAATTGGCGATGCAACGCATGCCTTCGACTAACAAACAGTTCTAAGGTACACCGCAGCCTACATAGTAACTAACTCGCACTTCTACATATGCGCCGGACTAGTGGCCTGCGCTACTGTCTATGCGCTGCATCCCGGAGTCCGGGGGACGCCGCGCGCCGCGCGTCTCTGACGCTGCGAGCCGCCTGCCTACGACGGCCGTGCCGCGCGGTCTATGCTCCGGAGCCGGCTCCGGCTCCCTGTACCTGTACAGTACAGCTCGCCGTCGCTTCCGTCGCACCGCGAGGTCGAGTCCAGCCGCCGCTGGCACAGCAGGCACGAAAAGCAGGCCTTGTGCCAAAGCTAAAACCAAGGGCGGTTAGTTGCGCGGGTGTGTGGGGACGGTGGCCTCCGGCCAAGGAACGTCTCAGCCTGAGTGCGGTCGCACAGCCGCTGGCCGGAGCAGCGGCCTCGTCGAGTCCGACGCTGGCCCCCGGGCGACGGTTATTCCCGCGTGTAGAAGTGGCGCATTCTGCCACTGTTGGCGGCGTACTGCAGTGCCGCTGGACACTCCTGTTGGGTGTGATTCAGCGCCGCGCCGGTTCAGCTCTCATGCTTTGTCCGTGCCGGCCCGTCTTCACCTGGCTACGGCCACGCAGTCGCCGAGCACGGTGTGACGGCGAGGGATGTGGGGAGGGGCAAACGCAACAGGTGACCCAATATGAGCGGGCGCTCACCTCTGAACTCGTCCAGCTTTTTCATACTGCCTAGCACCTGCAGCATGGGGCCGATCCAGGCACTGGACATGCCCTGACGCAGGTGGTCCATCGACTCTGAGTGCGCAAGGTACCACGTCGGCCGTCAGCGATGCTGAGAGCAGGCCAACGTCGTGGTACCCCGCCGGACGACTCAATACGGACGGACAGTGGCAGTGAGATGCCCATGATAAAAGATTAAGTGAGATGAAAGACTCACGACTGAAATATGTACCAATCGCAAGCTGCAGCAAACACCTCGAAACTGTCTTACGCCTCGGCTGTAACGCCTGCATGACTCCTCGCACAGATGCACAGCTCGTTTGGAGTCGTAGACCTACTGGTCGGTGCACTGAGCCCGGCTGGCGCCACGGCTTCCTGCTGCGCCTGCGGCCTCCTCTTCTTAGTGCGGGTGCTCCGGGACGTGTCAGCCTCGGTCCGGTCCTGCCGCCGCCTCTCCATGTCGGGTTGGTATCTGTGCGTGAGCCTGCGCCTCCTGCCAGCACCGCCTCCTCCCACCCGGCCGCCGGTCGCCGCACTTCTGGCCGCCCGTTCTGGCCGGCTGTGGTCGCGGCCAGCAACGCTCTGGGCCCCATTTGTTCCCGGCGCTGGCAACGGGTCACCGTGCCGGTCTTTGGCGGTCCGACCGCCCGGCGAACACGGGCCACGCGGCTGCCACTGCGTCGCCGGAGGCGCCGCCACGCCGCGCCGTGTGAATATGCGGGCGGGGCAGAGGTTCGCTTACGGTGCGTATCTTGTTCTTGATTTGCTCTTATTTTAAGTTGCCAGTTGGGGCAGGCATGTTCCTTGGCTGGTTACCACGTGGCAAAATATGTGAGCGGTTCACACACACACAGACAAATGCATAAACACAAACGTGAAAAAACAATCAGGGGTGTCACTTTTCAAATCGGTTGGGGGCTGAGCCGATAAGGTTGGCATTACCCACCCCAAAGCCTGATTTCTCGCCAGATTCGGGGCAATTTCATTCGCGCCTCTCACATCAAAATATAAAACATTTGGTCAGATCCAAAACAGCTTTGATGTTAAGGAATGGCTTCCCTTTTGAAGCAGAAGTGATAGTGAGAATGATGTCATATGAGTATGTTGACATCAAAGGCGGTGCGATTATGCACCTAATATACGAGCAGATCAGAGGCTAGTTGCATTTCATTGGCCCAGTATTTCCTTTTCTGTATGTATGCATTGGGGGGCTCAGAAGAGCAATGGGCTGGTTCAAGTCGGCATTTTGGTGCTCTGGCCACCAAAGTATACCAAGTGACAACCCTGGTGACAATCATTGCACAACTTAAACAAAACAATATAAAAAGATGTTCTTAAAACATTTTTATGCACCCAGTCCATAGCGTAAATGTTAGCAAAGCACAGCGCCACAATACTGAGCAACGCTGACCAGCGGGGCCCGCCCGCGCATGCACGACCCCATGCGTGAGCGCTTGCATGCCTGCGCATGTTTATGCTACTCACACTTGCAGTAGATCTCGTGGTCGGGACCGTCGTTATGCGTAGGGAGTCCAGCTTTTTGTTGCAGTCTGCGCAGTGGAAGCAGTGCTTGTGCCATCCCTGCAGCCGTGCCGCATCGGCCGGTTAGTCAGAACACACCCGGCGACCGACAGCTGCTGACGACTGCGGGGCACTACGGCATGCCTCGACAAGCTAACCTCTGGCTAGACGAGATCGTCTGAGAAACGTCTATGAATCTAATCAAGGACTACGGAACCTGGCTCTAAGTCCTACTATTCAGGTTTCCAAGAGACTTTTGAGTTTGAGACTCCTTCTGAAATAATTTGAAGTGAGGCAAAAAGTTATCTAGGCCTTTTGGTGTCTGCTGCAGTCCTGTGTCTGGATTAACACGCTGCCTTTTTACCGCCAAACGTTCTCTTTCAACGACTACAACAGGGAATCAAAGCACACCTTGATGAGCAATAGAACGCAAGCTGGTAAACAGCGCACCGTTTTAAGATCTACTTGACCACACCTTTTATTATCTACATATATTAAATAGATAGGCCGAACTGAATGTGCGGTTCATAAGGGCAGGCTGTGTTGTATTACCAAACATAGGCAGCATGTACTTTAGCTGAGAGGAAGTGCCTGCTGGGCATCACGGATGATTCTCAGCGTCGACTATCTGCTGCCTGGCTGCAAACCTGCCACCTCACTTCGGTGCACGATATTTACCACAAAGGCGGGGCGTGGTCGGGAGTGAGGAGGACGAGGGAGGGGCCACGCTTCCTCCGTGCCGCCGCCGACCGCGACCGATGCCAGCTGGCAGCCGGCCACAAGACTCGGCGGCGGGGCTCCAGCGGTAGGCCAGGCACACCAGCGCATACCGGCGCCAGGTGGCCGCCGCCCAGAGGCGCGCTCAGCACAAAGAGCTGGGACGCGCGGTGCTTCTCTCACGACTGGGAAACACTTCTCGTGGTCTACACTGTGGGCACGGTACCAGATGGCTGATGAAGGGACCAGCCGCCAGTCTGGCTGGCGGCCCGTACGACCGTTTGGTCCTTCCGACCGTCTGGTCCTTCCGATCGTCCGGTCCTTCCGACCGTCCGGTCCTTACGACCGTCTGGTCCCTCCGACCGTCTGATCCTTCCGACAGTCTGGTCCCTCCGACCATCTGGTCCTTCCAATCGTCTCGTCCTTCCGACCGTCCGGTCCTTCCAACCGTCCGGTCCTTTCGACCGTCTGGTCCTTCCGACCGTCTGGTCCTTCCGACGGTCTGGTTCTTCCAACTGTGGCCATCGGACACGTCCAGGGACGTAATCAGCACGGTAGCAGAAGGGGCACAAGGTTCTCTGGGCATCCACCACCTCGACGAACTGGCGTATATTTTAGACCCCAATGGAGAAAGGCATCCCCACCACTTGAGCGGGGCATATATAACCATATATATGCCCCGTATATATATATATATATATATATATATATATATATATATATACAGATATATATGGTATATATAACCATATATATACCATATAATCACATATAACCGATCCGCAACCAATCTATCACCATTCCATTCAAGTAATAGCTATGTGTCGAGCAATCAAACCGCGAAATATTTCAATGCGAGGACCTTTCTGCCTGATCAGAAGGTTTCTAAAGGTACAAAGGTTCATTACATGCTCTCCTTTGGTCGCCATGCCGTTCTGTTCTACTCCCAGCCCGTTCTGTTCGGCCACCTCAACCCCGCTCCAACGACCACACACGCAGGCGCAGCTCACAGAGGGCGTACCTCTACCGCTCCGCCACCGCACGCCCAGCACGCGGAGGGGGCACATCTGCCGATCCGCTGCCGCACGCCCAGCACGCAGAGGGGGCACGTCTACCGCTCCGCTGCCGCACGCCCAGCACGCGGAGGGGGCACGTCTACCGATCCGCTGCCGTACGCCCAGCACACGGATGGGGCACGTCTACCGCTCCGCTGCCGCACGCGCAGCACGCGGAGGGGGCACGTCTGCCGCTCCGCTGCCGCACGCGCAGCACAGAGGCCGCACACCTCTGCTGCTCACAGCTGCAGCCCTCCCTTCCCCCCCCCCCCCCCCGCTCCATCCCGGACGACGCCGATCAACAGAGCGGATGCGCCATACCTTTCCCATGGCCAGCATCTCTTCCGCCTGGTAGACTCGGCCGCCGCAGCGCGGGCAGCCCTGGCCTGGCGGCGCCTGGGCGATCTTCTGCAGCTGCGGGTAGTGGTAGCTGTTCCTGGAGCAAAGGCGAAAGAACATCAGCGCGCCCCAGCTGGGAACGGCGGAAGCTGCGCCCCGCCCTGTTCAACTTGGCCATGCTGAAATGTTTGGATGCTTGTCTTGGTCGACGTATTATATGAAAATGCACTTTACGAGTGCTGACGTGTTCAAGAAAAGCGCAAATAATCGCAGAAGACTTGATAACACATGACTGAACTTCACATCACATCACCGGTGCGCCGTTGAACCCAACTAGAAAGCAAAGTAAACATACCAATACGGTGTGTGGCATGAGGAAGTTTTGTACGGTGTTCGCAGAATAGTTCCGGGAAATCTCTTCAATCTATTCTTTTGGGAAATCACAATTTTTGGCACCGTTCTAGATACTACAAGAACGCGAGACATCTTTTGAAGGTAAGATCATATTGATAGTTGAGAATCTCTCCGGAATAAAATATAATGTTAGGTAAGGATGTTGTGGGCTATTTCAGACACAAAAAATATTCAACACGTATTGAAAAAACAATTTTGTCAGTGTATGTGTGGCTTTGCAATTGATCAACACCATATGATCGTACATGTCGGTGCGTCCCAAAACTTCAAACAACTAACACGGTGGTTAACTTCTTACTGAGTGTCGCAATGCATTCAGCCAGTTTTGACGTTTTGTAATACAATTACGCTACACCGCATTGTCACTTCATCTAGAAAAGTTTTTATCATCATCGCACTCATCATTTCTGTAGGGATTACGTCTATCACAGCTTTTTTTATTAAGAATTGGTATCTACAAAGGTGGGTAGAAAATGTTACAGTAGAGTGGTGGATGAAAAAGGGCATATATAAACATAGCTGCGCATTTGTCTCCTGATTCAAACCGAATATTGCTTTTTTGCCACAAAGCTTCTCGTTACGTTGTACTAATTTTGTGAATCTATGACAATGAGACCGACGAAATGGGAGCAAGCAATACTTGGCAGTACTCCCATCATCACAGCATTTCGCCTCAAACTTACAGCTGATGATAAAGCACAGAAGCGAAACTTAAGGTTCCGTGATTTGATGGCTTTGAAAAACTTCTTTCGTAACAGGGTTTTTCTGTAAGCTTGTCAAACAATATATATATATATATATATATATATATATATATATATATATATATAATTCCGAGAGATTTTCACGTCAAGACCGTGACGGCCTCATCGCGTACACAAAGGAACACACTTACAAACGAATGGCTTCTTCCCGTACCTGGGGCAGTGCACGTCATATGCCCAGGTTATCGCAGCGGCGTGTCCAATATAAACACCATGTGAGCTGCAGTAGTAGCGACGCCTAGCTACACATATCGGAAACTTCATTTCTGGCTCGATCCACTTGGCCAGCTAGGTTATTACATCAGGGATACAGCAAAACTCCTATCGACAGGATTGCTACATCAGTTATACGCGTCATTACTTCTGTCGCAAAATCTTGAAGAGACTTCACTTACATGCGACATTGCTTATAGTACAGAGAATTTACACGACATTGGTGCTACAGCACAAAAGTCATACCCGTAATTTCTTCTACAGAGAATTTACGCGACATTAGCGCTACACCACAAAAGTTATATCCGTAATTTCTTCTACAGAGAATTTACGCGACATTAGTGCTACACCACAAAAGTTGTACCCGTAATTTCTTCTATCGTAAAAAACTTTTGCAGTCATTGCTTAAATGTGACATTGTTTCTTCTGCACAAACTCATACTTGCACGAACAGTAATGTCTGTATGTATGAGCTGTGCTATAGTGATGACCGCAAAGTCCTGAAGCAATGATGGGTAAAACAATCCGATGCATAACATTTGTCGCGTAACACCAATGTTGTGCATTCGTATTTGCAGTAGAGGTAATGTCGAGTATAAGAAACGACTTATGAGCTTTTGATGTAAAATAAATGACGGAGACGTAGTTCCGCGTATAAGTAACGACTGCATCAGTTTTGGCTGTAGAAGTAATCACAGGCATAACTTTTGAAGCACAAATTATGTAGCAGAAGTAACGAAAAACTTAAACGTTTGGGGCAGAAGCGATGTCGCTTTTATATGATGACTGCATTTCTTTGCTGTGAAAGTACTGACGAAAGAAGTTGTTGAAACATACGTTTTGTCGCATAACACTAATGGCGTGCATATGTAGCGGCAGTAGAACACACACCGTGGCACTGTTGCCTGCAGGAGTTCTTTCTGTAGTACTAATATCGCGGGACCGGTCAGATGAATGGGGATTTTCCAATGAGGCTAGATGTCGCTACCATCTCTGAGACGACGCAACGTCTTCTGCGTAATTCAGGAACGCGATTTTCCCTGCCATTTTGCGGGGCATGTTTCACATGGCGCTACTAAGTTGCTTCTACTTACGTTTTCTCATTGCATCAGGGGCTTAAGATACTCCATTGAACGCGTTGCAATAAACTGAGTGTGACCTGACACGAAAACCTAACGGCACGCGGACCACCCAGTGCACCTCTGCTTCAATTATGTGAATTTAAAAGGTGACTAGGTGCAACAGAATTGGAATAAATTTGCGCGTATTGCTACAATTTACATGCATTGGGCTACTATCAACAGGCAATGTTACGACCCTGATGATGAATGATGGTCAGATGACATTCAATTACAATCACTGATATTTAGAACGAGCAAAATATATCACAGAGAGGAAACAGCAAGCAAAACCATGCCTACTGCGTTGGCCATTTCTTCTTGGTTCCTAGCAACGACTGCAGGCGTAGCATGTAAATGCGCTATCGCGGGCGACGATACCTGCTTAATGGAATAATGTTGTTTACCTACGAAAGGAGTGGCGTTTCCAAGCTAGTTGACAGTCTAGTCAGGCATGGTGGCAATGCTTATTAAGTTCCTGTGCTCGTAGACTGCACATTAAAACTTAAAAACAATTGCCTGGAATTTTGTGAGGTGCGTACGATCACGTGCATTATATGCGTCAACAATGCTCAGCAGGATGTAGTGTAACACTGAGTTAGGGGATGGGACCTTCAAATTAATAATAATTTTAGTAGGCTTAATGAGCACCTTGGACACGCACGTTTACGGAGAGAGTACACACCACCTGAGGATAGGACCTGGCAAATCGACACGCAGCAGCGGAGCATACCCGAACAGACACCAACTCTAAAACAGAACTTTCATCAACAGCTGAGCGCGACGCGGACCATTCGGGATCTTAGAAGGCTGTACATTCGGGATCTTCCCCCCAGGCTGAACGCAAAAACCGCACCATGCGACCTGATTTAAACGATATCATTAGGTTGTACACGCTTCTGAGGCTCAGGCAGAGTTCATAGTTCCTGATGATTGCGGTAAGAAACGTTCTTATCTACTCCTCTGTGTGGGACTTAGTAAGCTTCTAGTTAGCCGCCTGTCTTTTGCTTTTTGCAGCCTTTAACATTGAACTTTTACAGGTTGTTGGTAGCATAGACGATTCATCTCTTTGAAGTTTTTAGTGACATTATCTGCAAAGATTTAGGGTATCGCTCTAATTCATGTGAAATCCTTGTCACTCGAACGCGCGCAACCGAATCGAATGGAAAAGCGCAGCTCGAAATATTAAGTACCGTCTTTATAATCGTTGTTTATCCTTACAACGTCGTTTAACCAGCACATCCTAGCAAATCGAAGGTCGTTAACTCAACCTGAGAACTATTAACTTACAATGTAGACAAAACGGGAGCTGAAGACCTTTCTTTATTATATCAAGGCTTCAGTTATGGCAGTATTTAGTCCTTAATGTTACGGTCGGAGGCAGCGTAGCAGCGACAGTCTCTCATCAGCATTTTGTTAGTTGTTTGGGCTCAACAACTATTATTCGGTGTCAGTACCCTATATTCTTTCTGAACAAAATCATTGCATTTTCCGGTAAGCTCAACATCTTGGAAATCGTTTTCTTCTTCTCAAGAGAAAGTAACCATTGACCTTTTCTAAGGCACTTGGTGGTGCCGCTGCTCTCGGCAGCGTTGTTACCCACGTGCTGGTACATGGTGGTAAAGTTCTCCGCCAGGGAGACAGGAGGATTCAGCAACTCCGAGGGAGACGCCGCACTGGCGTTACTGCCGAGGGAGACGCGACTTGGCCGTTACGGCAAGGGTACGCCCCGTGCTGCCATTACCCCCCCCCCCCCCCTGGATGGGGCAGAGGGGCTCAGCTTTGCCGTTACTCACGAGGCAGACTCGACGTTGCCGAGGTGTTCACCGGTGTCCATGCTGAGTGCGCCAGCTCCGCCTCCGAAGCCATAGCCCTTGGGGCCGTAGCGGCGGCCGTGGCACTGCTTGCAGAACAGATCCTTCTGGTGTTCAGAACAGTTGGTCGAGTCTAGACCCTTGTTGCAAATGCCTGGAATGGAGCGTGGTGTGACGTGACGTAGCGAAACGTGACCTGAGAAAGCATCGGATTGAGCGGATGAAAAGCGACAGGTTAAATAGACAGAATTTTGATTTATAGGAGTCTTTTACAATTTAAAGACACAAGATATAAAGCAATGTCACGATTCCTGAGCAGGAAAAAGGCCCTTGGGGGATTAAAACAAATCAGTCATAATTGCAGTCACCGAAACGTGCAATCCATATTGCAGTCCGCGTTCGGAATCGCAGCATGTTCGTGGGTTCAGGGAATATGTCCATTGAGGGTTCTTAATCACTAGCATTCCGCGTGACACGACCCGCGCACATTCCTCACAATTTGAGAATGACACTAGTAACTTTTGTAACACTGTTGGCTTCTGCACTACCTGACTAACGCGTATTTGGAACTCTAAGCTACCTGTTCTTTAGTCAGAGTTCCATGTTTAGATAACACTCTCTCGGTAATGTCCTTACGGACTGTCAGTGAAGCAGAGCGACTTCTCCCGGCGCGAAAGCTACCACTCAGCAACACCTGGTGTTGAAGAATAAACATTAAGAGCAAGAACCAGTCTGCCTACGCACGCGTCCATAGGCCAACGAGCCTTATGGCGGGGGCGGCGCCCCTTCTGGCTCACTCACTGCACTTGAAGCACGTCTTGTGGTACTTGTGCCCGCCGGACACGCGCTCCTCGGCGGCGTACACCGGCCGGTCACAGACCGGGCACTTGGCCACTTCTGGCGGCTTGAACGGCATGGCTGCGGCACATAGAAAACAAGGTCACTGCGGGTGTCCGGCCAGAAATGGCGGCTGACACTGCACGTGGGCTCACCACAATAACGCTGGCCGTGTTGAAGTACTGCTTAACAGACGTGACGTTGGACATGAGCCGCAATATTCTGACTCGTTAGTCTGTCCGCCTCAAGCGGTATTTGTCCGCCGGCTTTCTACAAGTTGTCGGTCAGTTAGCGGGCCTTCGCCAGCAGCGCAATTTCGATAAGCAGGCGGATTCATCTTCGGATTTCATTTAAGTATGGGATACGACAAAGTGAGAGCAGTCACTCACAATGAAATCTTCAAAATATACCATGCCCTGACTTTCACAGCAGGGACTCTGGGGAACAATACGCATCAGGTCACTATATGAAAGGTGGAGGTCCGCATCATCAAACGACGCGGACAGAAATGCTATGCATGTGACACGCAGTTTTTGCTCCTAAGGAACTGTGCTTTCGCATTGGTACGCATTGCCGCTAATTGGCGTGTGGTATCTGAGACTTGTGTAAACAACTACGACCCCACGACGAATTGCATGTATTCTCCGGCAGGCACACTTAACAGCCTGAGTAATGATCCAAAAAGCACAGAAGCAAATTACATATAAAATTTTCTGCCTCCCTTAAATCGAACATTACTTTGACCGCGGGCACTGCTCCGTGGAATTCTAAGTCTGACCGACGTTGAAAGCCTCTGGCAATTCTTTCCACTCATTGCATGTAAGGCCGTGAGTACATGAAGTCTGGTGTAACAAATCTGGCATGTAATTTACTTCGCTGTAATACTGCGATGTGACTCTGGCATGTTTTGAGGGTCCAACTACCATTTCCTCTGCTGCGCTTCTAGCTTTAGTTTGAAATTGGCCTAACACGGCATGAAATATCACCAGATACTTCAGGTAATTTCAAATGGCAGGTGTTCTTATCACTGCTATCTCCGTCCAACAACTGCTGTTAGATAAATTTCCATGGGCTAGGTGTGTGTGTCATTGGGGCTTTACGACGCGCCTAGCTGCGAAGGCTATATGGCGTCGCCTGCCTCCCACCCTGGCGGGAAGGGCGGGCATCGCGGGGATCGAACCCCGTACCTCTGGTTTCCCAGAAGCGCAGTGGTTTACGCGTTAGCCATTTCACTACCGCCCCCCATGGTTTAGGTAAAGGTGACAATGCAATTAAATTATGCTTCACATGTTGCCCTAAACCCAACAGCAACAAAAAAACAACTGATCTGCCAGGGTCTTAATTTCAAAAACAGGTTAGAGTAACTCAGCAGTGAAAAGTGGCAAACCCAACACCTAAAATACCTCAGCAAACGGGGTTCTTTTCGGATTTGGCCCAGTTTTTAAAGTTGGGGAGGGATGGAGACCCTCTCCCCAACTGAAAGGAAAACTGCCCCCTGTGGTTGGCCTGTGGGCTGGCATTAAGGAAAAAGTTGCGTCTCTAGCCCACACACTTTCCAGAACTCGCAGTCAAGGGCACTCGTTCAGCATGCTAGCTAAGCTACAAAGCTGCTGCAGAGACGACGCAGCTCCTGATGCATGTTGCCCGAAGGTGATGCCAGTGTGTCGACAGGTGCTATCGGCTTCGATTCACAGCAAAATGTGTGCGTCATCGCTGACTGACGGCTGCTGCCATCCAGCCAAGAATGCATCGCAGTTTATCATAAGCTGGCGTCTCGACCGCTGTCAAAGATAACTCCTGAGACAGTTTGTCACAGATCATTTACCAGGCTGACCGACTTGGCGACGACACGACACGTGTCATACCGGTCAAATTCAGCGTGTTTGCCTCAGCAAAACATCCGACGCCATCCCCATTTGAATGTCAACAAACGACAGATCCCTCCAGGCACGGCCGAGCGCTTCTGCCGCAGCGCTCGCGCCCCACCATCCTCTCCAGGTGGTGGAGCGCGGCCCGGAGACTGCTATAAATACGCGGCCCGAGCTGAGCGATCCGCGGGCAACCATCAAACAATCAGCAGCAGGCCGCAGCCGGTCCGGACCGGGCCCCATTTGAAACGCCGGAATTCTCACACCGGGAGGCAAAGCCCGCCCTGCTGAAATCGCACCCGACGCCAAATTTGGTGCGACTGGCGCATGCGCGGCGCGGGGCGGCTCGGATGAGTCAGCCCCGCTGTTTGTGTTGGTGCTCGCTGAGACGGAGGGGCCCGTGTCAGACGCCCACCTGATAGTATGGGGAATCTCGTTTGGGCCTGAGGCCCAGCCGCTCACTGGCTGCCTTTTGCTGCATTCTTTAGAGCAGGTGCGAACTGCGGCAAGTGAGCCCCGGGCCTTGATCCAATGCATTAGTGCTGCAGCAATGATGTTCTGGGTGTGCTTATTAAGCGCGTGAATTTGTATTACCTGCGATGTCAAGGACCACGGAAAACTTTTCGGATGTTCGAAAATTAAACTGCCAGGACATGAATTGGGTAATTGTTCAGAGCGTCTATTATACGAGTACTTGACGGTATACCTAATGCTTAACTGCACACGCCGGTAATAAGTAAAGCTAAGTTCCCAAAGCTCACTTCGAGCACTTCCACCGCAAAATTTATGTATCATCATGAGCAGTCTCCTCGCTACTCATGCAGATTTGGATCATGGTTTGGGTTCGGATTCACTCGAATTGAGAGCATCATACACATTAATGCCCCAAATCTATGTCGTTACCATTGTCTGCGACCCAACTGAGATTCATCGCAAGTGTTTGTGTGGCTAGCATTGAAGCATCAAGCTCATACTGTTTCATCAAGATCGTAATCAAAGCCCTAGTTATGCTCCGCTCCAACATCAATACCGCAAACAACGACCAAACAGGCAAGATCTGAATGAGATGAGTGAGCGCTCCTTGGCGGAAAGTGCCAAGACAGGGCGCCCGGAGGCCGTCTTCTCCATTGCTCCAGCATCAATACCGTAAACAACGACCAAACAGGCAAGATCTGAATGAGATGAGTGAGCGCTCCTAGGCGGAAAGCGCCAAGACGAGGCGCCCGAAGGCCGCTCTCTATCAAACCGTCCACACAGTAAGGTGAGCACGATGAATAAGCCACAAGAGGTCACAAGTGAAGAAAAAATATACGTCATGAGTCTGTAGCTGCTGCTATAAGGAGGAGTCCATGAGGCCATCTGTCGAAGGTGAGGCAAGGTGATGCCCACCTGTTCAAAGCTCAGGCATGTTCACCTGGCTAGGTGCAGCATTTCTTGTGGTCGCAGTGGTCCATCAAAGTGCATAGGAGGTGCCATGTAAAAAACATGATGTCCTGTTGCTGATTGTTTTGGGGAGAACAGGAATTTGCGCCAGATATTTTGTATGGATGTAATGAGGCATGCTCACTGTATAGGGACGCATGCTGCAGATGGCGTGCGTCTGTAACACCTACTAGCAAAGAATAGATGCTTCATGAAATGCAGAGTTTCTTTGGTAACAGTTTAGTTGACTGACAAAATCCGATCAAGCATAACAACTTATCAAAATATTTTCAATGTCAGTTTTGGGTCCTGGTTTTGTGCCCCAATATTGCAGATTCTAAGGTTCAATGTCAAATGTTTTAGCACTACAGGGGCCCCCGATGGGGTAGCGGTATTCAAAATTAGACTTGGACCATATCCTCGGCGGCGACTAGGCGACCTTTGCGTTTCAGTTACACGCGCAGAGAGGTGCCTTGTGATAAGCGCACGCGCTTTTGCACCAATCAGCAATAGCATCCTCAATGTGTGTGTTTGATGTGAAAAAGCATTTCTGGTTATTTCTGTTGCCAACATACGCATCCAATTTTTCGGTCACAAAAGTGCAATTATGTGAATTCAACATTACTCTACAATATTCAAGACATCTGCGTCATTATGTGAAGTGAAATGTAAAAAGGCACGCTGCTTGTTTAAACTTAACTCACTTGAATATGCCTACGAAGATTGGCGGGGAATGGTTCCACAGCAGCACTCGTGCGAAGTACATCAACACATTTTTGATGCAATAGTTCACGCATGCTCTGCCGAATTTTTACATGTTCTGCAACGGATGGCACGCTCCCTGCTCTGACAAGGTGTGACACTGATGGTGAGCTGCTGGCGGGGCCCCGACGCGGCCAAGGCACGCCCCGCTGTCACCGCGGATCGGCGACAGAGCCGTCTGCCAGGTCTGCCAGGTCTGCCTGGCTCCCAGATCCCGCTGGCACACCCCTGACGAGCTCGGCAGCCCAGCTGGGGTCCTGATATCCCGGCAGGCTGTCCAGATCACGCTGGATCGTATGTGCTGGCTGCATCGCGCATATTGCGACGATTTTCAGCCGTGGGCGGGACCAGTAGATGAGCCGACATATGCCCAGGTTATCACAATGCAGTGCAAGTGAAATGCAAAGCAATGTCTGTAAGCTGCGCCCGGAAAGAAACAGACATATTTCAGATTAGGTCATACTGCATGCTGTCATCACCTCACACTCAGGGGATGCAAAGTTCTGTGTGTTTTCCGAGAAATGTTCCCTTTTCATTCCCTGGAGGGCTGGATGCATCGCAACTATGGGCCCTGAATGCATCACATCTTTTTCCCGATTTTGGACAGCCAGCACCTTCTGCCTACCGTCTTCACTTCCCACGGAGGTTGTCGCATACTTCATAGCCATCATTGGACAGTCCGTCCTGGCTCTCGGCCACAGTGATAGTCGTGTGTTTGGTGAAAAAAAATACTACGGGAGTTGTAAGTATTTTGCAAACCTGAAGCCGGTGCCGTGCTGCCACTAGTCTACATGCATTAAATCCCGGCATCGTGTCGCCAAATGGTCCTTATTTTACCAGCACATAGCCTGTTATAGTATTGCCAGTACTGAGCGTGTACCGGCTCAGTCGCGCACCTAGGATTTCACGTAAGGAGAAGCGCAGCATTTCATAGCAAAGCTGTAGAGGCTCTCCCAGTCATGGTGATCCTTATTTGTTGCTTGGGGACCCTGATTGGTACACGGTTGGTTTTTTAGCATTGTTGTCCTATTTTGACTCCCGTTGTTTACGTTTCAGAATTCCTTCAGGTGTCAGTGGGCGTAATTCCTACAAGCGTCAGTGGGTGCAATTCCCACAGGCGTAATTCCGTCAGGCGTTAGCAGCCGACAAGTATTAGGGGTATCAACCCCAGGGGGCCCAACCACCTACAGGAGTGAATGGTTTGACATGAAGGTTTCCCCGCCCTTGGCTACGCCATTGCGCCCGTACCGGGTTGCTAGAATTTCACATATCCAAATGCAATCTTTCGGGACCCCTCGTTCCACTTGGCCTGGAAATCAATAAGCATATATGAAACGAAACAACTTATCGGGGAGCATGCTTGGGGGCTTTTACCATATGTACGCTCGCATTTCCCATGATTAGGTAGACATTTCGCCCCATAAATGTTTCATGCTATGATGTTCATTTTAATTCCTTTTGCATCATTTTGGAGGATGTTCGAAAAAATCATATACAAGAAATTTTGTGTATGCGAGATCGTGTCAGGTTATTTTGTTCCGTCAAGCTTCTAGATTTGTCGAAGTCTTGAAACGGTACGGTATGCTGCAATGAATCGCTTGAATCCACTTGACAGACGATACAACGGTATGATATAAGCATTCGCACGCGTAAAGATGGTACTGTTTCCCAGTACCAATTAAGGCCTTCGAAAGCCTCACAAAGATAGGACTTAATTCGTTGACTGCAATCGATCCACACATACTTATCAAGCTGAAATGCTGAATGCGAGTGCTTCCATATACAGGCATTTAAATTCCAAAGTTAATAGGACATTAAATTGCCAATCGTCATTGTTGCATCAAAGTTAACTGCATGATGCCCACTGCAAGTATCCCTCATTCGTGGACTGCTGCAAGGGTCGCTTATGATACCATTCCGTCCACAACAGCTTGATAAATCCACAGGCGTCAGAAACAATAGCTTCGTGTTTGCAATACCCTCAAAATAAACCAGCACGCAAATAAGCAGGGCAAAGATACAACACCCTACGCTTAGCCACTATATCACTGGCCCACTCGTTTTGCATGTTTTTGCTTAGGAAAGCACTACAGTACTCCCAGTGATTCACTGTACACTATACGCTTATTATGACGCCGTTTTTTTACCACCCGGCGCGCAACACGAATAGCATGCGACGCAAAACCTATGCATAAGCGTTCGCTATGCATTGGGTGTCTCCACTGTCCAGCGCCACTCCCGCACGTCACCACTTCGTCCTTGTCACGACTCCCGCACCACCGCCGCGTCCCACGGCATGCACCGAGGGTGGGGCTCGTCGGCAGCAGTGTCCCCGTGACCTCGGGCCAGCTGACCGGCCCGAGGTCAGGCCGCAAGACGCGGCGGCGGCGCCGGGTCCCGGTCCGGCGTGCCTCGCGCGCTGGCCTCGCCGCGGGCGCTTCACCTGGGTGGCGGCGGAGTCCAGAAGACGTGCCGGCGGCTGAGGCTGCTCACTCTGACTGCGGCCAATGCCTCCAGGCGCAGCGCCTGTTCGACTTCCAAATCAAAAATATATCCTGAAGTCACGCGGTAAAAATAGGCGGCGGCCGGCGCGTCGTCGGTGGCTGCCGGACGCAGGGGCGCTGCAGCCGGTGGACCCGGGCCGCCGCCGGGCCGGCTTCACCGCCGCCGCCGCCACCGCGGGCCGGCGGGGACATTTCGGGACACGCGGTCCGTGAATCAGACCGGTGACGTGGGCACCACCTGCACGTGGCCGCTGGCCCAGTTGGAGAGAACGGCACGCGACAGGCTCGGCCGGGGTGCGGGGCAGAGTGTGTCACTCACCTGACTCAGCGCCGCCGCGGGACCGTTGCCTGAGAAAGTACTCGTGGAAGCTCAACAGAGGGTTCAAGAAAAAGGGTAGGCGCTAGAGGCCCATGTGCGGTAGACAGCGTTGCAGATTAGGTGCATAAGGTCATGTTTTGTTGAGGTGTCAAGGGCAGCTTTGGTGCCCATTCGGAAAAAAATGCACTACAGTTGGTATGTTTTCTCTCGTAACCTTCCCCGGAAAAGGCCAAAGCAACCGAAGACTCGGAAAGTGATGCCTAAGAAACCCGCGAATAAGGACACCTAGCGGTGCGATAGACATGCCTATATTGGTGTGAAAACTAAGTCACATTTATTATTTTCGGGCAATATAAAAACTACACTCAAAAAAGTTGAGCATGATGATTATATCTTAGATTTGCATTTCAGCTGGAAACCACATTCAAAACGTTTTTTATGTGAAACTCAAACACTCGCGCGCGCAAACACTTCCTTGTTTACTCTCAAACTCGGCTGGAGCGAATGTTGTACAAAACATGCGTTGTAAGAGGTCCAACGCGTTGCATTTGACGCCCACGTGCTTTTCAAATGCGTCACCTCATTAGCATTATCACATTTAGGACAACGCTTTTTGTAGCGACACCTAGACGATGGAAACAGATCATTGGGCAGCGAGTGGACCATTGGCGCAGTTGGCAGGCGTGGAGCATGTCCCTCAGGCATCCCGGGAATGAACTGAGCCAGCCTGCGGCGAACAAGGGCAGGCAATCAGCTAGCAAGCCCGCCAAGGCTGGTGGATGTCCCGAGAGACAAAGCAATCTGTCACTGCCGTTCACACCCCGCAAGTAAGCCAAATGAGCCATTTCACTGACCCTGGGCGCGACCGAAAACCCAGATTCCAAGACAAAAGTAGGGCTGTTCCCATTCCCGTCCAAGTAAGCGAGTCACAGAAACCAAAAAGCTATTCTTGAAAAGTTGCTTTCGTGAACCAAATGTTATCTTGTTAAGCGTTTATTTACACCTAAAAGAGACTTCACATAGAACTAAACTCTTTCCCGACACGGTCATTTTTTTCTCTGAAACAGTGAGAGTGGCCTGAGGAAACCCCCCATTCCCCTAGTAAGGTGCAAGTTAGGATTGATAGAGCATCGCAATCAAAGCACAGCGTGTTTTTGTTGCCTACGCTTTCTAAGCATATTCGTCTTTGGTTCCGGATTAAAAGTTTGCCTTCCAAGTCACGATAATGATCTTCAAAAATTGGTTCAGAAAAGACATTAAATATTTACGCCTACGAAATCTCCAACTTGTAAAACATAGAAGTTACTCTGTACGCACCAGCTTGTTCCTTGTAAAAGTCCCACTCTTAAAAGATGTTTGAGTTTTTGGATCTGTTTCCACTGGCCTTTCCATCTTTCCATGCACTCTCAGGTCATGAAAACATCATCATAGCTAAAATGCTTCTTCGGGCCCCTTCAGCCTCTTGAACATAATGAAAACAATAATAGTGCGCTGCCGGCCTACTTTACCGTGACAGCTTTTGCTTTATTATGCAACCTTTTGCAGCAGTTTCCAATATTCTGTTTTAGCAGCTCTTTCGCCTGGCCAGCACACTTAATGTGGTTTTAAGGCGTTGCCTTGCTTTTTTCATGATAAACGGCTTTTGCAAATTTCGGCAGACCTTTACAACAATTTTCAAGATCTGTTTTCAGGAGCTTTGTGACAACTGCAGGATTACTTGGTTGTGCTTTCGACAAAACTAATAGTAATAACGTTCTGCAACATTTTGCAACAATTTTGAAGGCTATTTTTATGGGCTTTGGAGTCGTGCGAGGTCGGTGATAACGTTGTTCGTTTCTTCATGTCCTTTGCATTAAACACTAGCAGTATCATGTGTTCGAGTGTTCGAGTTGGCCAATTCCTTGTGAAACACATAGGCAACTTTGCTGCACATGATGGAGGGTGAGGTTGAAATGAGGAACATATTGGGAGGAGTTTGCAGAGTGGTTTCCCCTCTGCCACGCCCACCGGACACGAACTAGGTTGTGATGCGCCATGCAAGGCATTTCGCCCACTCCCTCTCAGTGTTTCTCGGTTTCAAGACAAGCTGACTTGATTTTTACATGATTTAATTGTAATTCGTCCCTCCCTCTCTTATGCTGAGTTCTTCGCCGAGTACATCTTCCGCAAACGCACTTACAAGAAATTCGTTACGACTTCGTCTCGACGCACCTTGAATAAAATCGCATGGGCACGGTTTCTGTATCATGAGAGTTCCTCTGACTGGCTGCCCCCCCCCCCCCCCCCCCCCACCCTTGAAAGCCATCAGCTCTTCTGCGTGGTCAGTAATGTCCTGACTGTCCAACTTGCTGCCTCCTCTATCCGTAAAGTTACCAATGTCGGCAGACATCATGAGCATGGAAGTCCTGCATACATGGTGGTATTTCGCCTAACGCGCCCGCCAGGTTGTTATTAGTTCATCCAGGCTGTCTCATCGGCCTATTGCCGACAACATGACAACATTAAGGACATGATTATTTAATTGAAATTCACCCCTTGGCATACGTATGCAACCTTTTGAAGGCCTAAAAGGCCGGTACACTTTGGTATTGAACTTCACTTACTTGTGGCATTATTTGATCAAAATACTCCTCATCTTGCCAGCAAGTCTCTGTTTTCGTCCTTATCGTAACGTGGGATATGAGCAGTTTTAATATGCCGGGTTTAACAAAGTCCAGCTCATGATTTTAGTGCAGTGTTACATGCCCGTCATGTGTGCTGAAATGCCTACATGCCTACCTACCTACATGCACATGTGTGCTGAACATCAGTTAAAAAATTGCAGCCTAGCCACTGAGGGCATTGTGGAGCAGATGTTGTCATAGTGACTGTTTTGCGAGTTGACGTGGGGTTCAGCTTAGCGATGTGCTTGCCTAGTTATGTGATGTTATGGCAGATCATGTTGCAACGGACGTTGCGACCGGAATGTTGCAAGAAATACCTCTGGAAATTGAGTGTCGCGTTGCCGGGATAGCAGGCATCGATTTTTGCAGCCAGTTCAACATAGTCCATAGATACAGACAAAACACGTTTGAACCGGACCGATTTTGAACACACGATCTCCTATTTTGTAACCGGCGCATCATCACCTTTGCCATTCAGCTTTAACGTGTTTTGATTTGGTTGATTGCAAAAAGGATTCAGTGGTCCAGAAGTCCAGCTTGATTCCTCCTGACTGTATAATGGTCATCGACAAGACGGCACATCCAAAGGTTGCTTAGACTGGTTCTGAGATGGTATCCCGTGGCCTCAGCTCTCCAGTTCGGCAATGACGAGGAAATGTTAGTAAAGATGGCCTCATAGATAAGACAGCACCTTATTCCTATTCCATCGCTTATTCCTAGGAGAAAAGTAGGGGAATGGAGATAAGTTTGGTTGAGATTTCGGCAACACGTCTTTATCGAAACAATAGCAGAAGTGCAAAAACAGAAACAATAACAAAGCAGCATAAGGCTAGTTGAACTGCGTGTTGAACCGCGACCAACGTGAACTACGACTACGTTGTGAACAACGACCACGCCACTGTGTTGAACTGGTTGCAACATAACAAAGCAACATGCCTTTCAATAAAAGCGTGTTGCCGAAATATCAACTCAACTATACCTCCATTCTTCTGGTTTTCTCCGAGAAATGAGGCTAATACTTATCTATGTGAATAATGCTCATCGCTAATGCACTGAACAACTTACGTAAGATGGCTTCATGTTTAATGTCCCAACATTTGGGAGTTAATTGGCTCTACTTTAGTCGGGATCTTCACTCCGGTTGGAATTAGAATGAAATTAGGGGGGGGGGGCGTATGCATGATGAAATGTGGAAAAACTATATATGCTGTTATTTAGATCTTCAACCACTCAAGGGAACCAGTGAAGCCTATTTTGTTCTTGTTTCTTTGCTTATACGGGGCAATGTTTTATTTCCGTTGGAATCCATTACCAGCCCATGTTAGATGTGAACCCATCTGTTAATTTTCCATGGATGTTGGGACTTTTGCAATCGTAGAAGCTGCAGACTGGTGCCACATGGCATTGAGCTAACTTTGGGGAGTTATCGTATGCTTGGTTAACGTCCACCTGATCTGATTTTGGTTTGTTGCTTTGGTAACCATCAACTGACAAACACGTGATGCCTGATCAAACTATCACCTTTAACAAACTTCAGGCCCCTGACTGGTGGCAATAATCATTTTATAGTTCCCTTTTTATTACTCTAGTTTATATGACAGTACCCATTTAGTTACGTCGGTCACATTGGTTTCGACGCAGTGAGTGACATATGTCATCTCCTGGGATCTTCCTCTCAGATGCCGAGGTTGTCGCGGCACAAGACCTACATCGCAGTGGTGCTTCATCATACTTACGTCTCTTGCACGCCAAAATCACTAGCGACACAGTCATGTGGCTGGCTATGTGGCTGGGTACCTCCAAATCCAGTCAGGATTGTTTGACGCCCAACGATGGCATGCTTCTAAACAAGCAAAGCTTGTGTTTTCGCACAGTGTTGGCGCTTGCTCAATCAACAGTCAGGAGTCCAGTCATATATTTTTTTTCGGTGCATTGTAATTGGCGCCTCGGTAAGGCCGACTAGCTTTACTCGAGGTGAGTTCACTGATGAAAGGTAACGTAATAAATGTGCCGATTCCTAATGCAGCAGCGATATGTCAACCCCGGCCAATAGTTATGCTACATTAAGAATTATTTCAGCACATTCTAAACGTTGGCTGTCATTTTGTGCT